TTTGGTAATGGCCAATGTGAGATAATGAAATTTCTACTCAAAATTTCAAACAATGTAAACCTCCAACTAGGGTCGGTTCATCAGTACTCCATCTAAAGATAAGTTCTATTTCTTTTGCCAATGGATTATAGAATATTTGTACCTGGACTTGCGACATTGAATGTCGCTCTCTAGTCTCTACAGACTCTAGTACTCTACTACGAAGGATTTTATGAGTTATTGTCTTTCGTACTTTACAAGGCTTTTAAGTCATATTTTCCTCTTTCAAGTAGAAGGAACATATCAGAGAATTTCTACAAACACTTATTTTAAAATGGTATTGGAACAGAGATCCTAAGATTTTCGCTATGCTTGAAACCCTAGCTAACTCTGAAAAATCCTATCATCCCAGCCTCGACCCAGATGATGACTACCCCAAAAGATGACCCAAATCCATAAGATGACCTCAATTAATCCGGATGACCGAGATGACACAGCGTCCATATCGATAGTTTTCGTCCTGTAACTAGGTTTAGGAGTTATTACTTTTCTTACTCTACAAGGCTTTACGCTGTATATATTTCTAATTAGGTTTAGGAGTTATTACTGTTCTTGCTCTATAAGGCATTGTGCAGTACTTATTTGTATGCTCTAAGGAGGAGAAACATATCAAAAATTCTCACAACCACCCAATTTAACACAAATTATACGCCTACATAGGGACCTTGAGCAATCAAATACTGGGGGCCTAATTATTATTTCACTTACCGATATTCATCTTTACTTTATTACAAGAGGTTTCAAGTTCTCATTGGGGCTGCTTTGTATTTTTGTTTTTGTTTTGGGGCCTTTGGTTTTCGTTGGGGCTGACAGTGAATCCACTGACCCGAGTGATGGAATGACGGGTGCATGGTGGCTATGGTGGTGACGACTTGTGTTAAAGGACTAAGTCTCATTGAGTCATCATGTACTTTGTTTGGGCTTCTTTGCCCGTTTGACCTAATTGCAACTTGTTTTTATGTTTATCTCATGTAACATCTTCTTCTATCAATGAATTTGATGTTTGACAAAAAAAGAATTTCAAATCTCATAAATACATGTGTATATAGAGAGGGTTGCCCCTTAATTAAAGTTGTAATCTTCGAATTAAACAACATATAACCTGAGCTGATATATATCCTTTCGTTTTCAGTTGAAAATCCAATCCAAGTGATATGATTATATTCAGTTTGGAAATATCATTATTGTAAGGTTACTGTCAATTGGTTTCAGGTGGATATATGTACATATATAATTCAAAGATTTGAGCTAGGGCTCTGTTAACACCCAACAAAAAAGCTAATTACTCCATCAAGTTGAAAGTTGAATATTATGTTTAGTTGTTACGTTTCAAAGACATTTTATATATTTTTTTTTTTACATGACTTTTTATTTTATATTTTTTTAAGTTCAAATTGGAGCAAAAGTGAACTTTCACGAAAATTTTCATTAGATGTTGCATTTTGAACACTAGTAGAATCCCCTCAATGGTCAAGAACTTATGCCTGTTATTTGCTACAAATGATTACATACAGTTCAGAACAATAATCTAGGAGGAAAATATTGATATAAAGATACACAGAATGCTAATTCTCTTGAAATAAAAAAAAAAAAAGGGAACCCTTAATTATCATGCAGGACCATATATATTTCAGTATTGATGAGACTCAGACAAGGTTCAAATCATAGAGTATGGTTGCGTCTATGGTATTAAATATGTTGAAGGCTACATTGCCCTAAAGGGGAAGGACTCTTGCATCACTGATTTTAAGGTGTAGCTCAGTGCATCGTCGACATCCAACCTGTATATATAGGATAGAGGATTAATGAATGAAACAAGCTTCATGGTCAATACAATCCAAATTTTTTATTTGTATAAACATTGTGTCGGCAATCGAAGTTATGGACACAACTAGTTGTTATTAATAAGGTGAATCTTAGTTGATCATTCATTTGAATATATAGCCGTTCTGTACGCAGTGCCCTACGAGATAGGTAAGTACTGCATGAAAGTTTCAATCAAGGACGTCAAATACATTTTTTCTATTTTTTGGCAAACTTATGTCATACAATATGCTGTTTCTTCAACTAGCACCACCAAATGGCGCAGTTAGTTTGTCATGGTTACGTAGGTTTGCTTTCTGTTCAAATGGCAGGTAATAAAGGATAAGATAATGTGAACCTCATGCTCTTGTACATCCCCCCTTATGTATAACCGGGTTGAGAAATACTCAGAACTCGGAACCTTTCAACATATATGTGTGTAGAGGAACCTTTCAACATTTGTGTGTGTGTGTGTGTTTTTTATTTTTGTATTACAAGGGTTATTTCAGTTTCCTTCATCACATATATGCTTTTGATTGGTATCGTTTAGTTGCTATATATCGTGCCGAGAGCATGCATAACATGTTTATCATAATTCACCAAATCCCCACTATGTATGGATGTACGAAGTAAAGCTGACACTTTAGTGAAGCATTTTCTTATAGAGATGAGTTCTACTGTTATATGTTAGACCTACATGTATGTATTAAAAATTGTGCAAGTTTTTGTGTAACATTGGCCCTGTTGTAATGAAGGCGAATTCAAACAAAGCAACTATATATACATACTGGGACCAATTTGTTAGAAAATATTAGTATTTTAAGTTTATTATATTGTTAGGGTATGTGGTATATATTTTACGTATTAGGGTCTTTTAGGTTTATATCTCTATAAATATAACTTGTAATTTAGTATGCGAACTAAGTCAAAATGCATGTGGTTCTCAATTTGTAATCATCTCAACAATCTTGTTCATTTATTTTCCTGATTGTAAAATTATATTCTTAGTTTCATAGTTTATTCATTTGTCTATTACTTGTACTCTGAATGTCAACTTAATTAAATCGTACGAAAGCTATTTGCAAGGCTGACCAAATTATCACAAACTTTTTGCCCTTCGTGTATACACACACGTGTAGACATGGTTATTCATATTTTGCCAAGACGAACTCTGGTTATTTGTATTGAGATTAATCGAATTATTGATTTTTCTTGATAATGTATTATAGTACGTGGGTAATTTTGTGTTAAAGAATACAACCTTAGCCATGTAAGTTACGTACGTATAGTCTATCACCAATCTTCTCAGATCAAGTCAAAACTTCGGGTTTTTGCTTGGTCTCTAAATACTTAGGCCATCTCCAATCGAAGGAGGACCAAAGGGTTCGCTTTAGTCCTACAGTCCTCCAAGAAACTAATATTTTAATGAACAGTATCATGCCATATTTCATACCATCTCCAACCTAGGGGCCAAATGGTCATAGGTCAAACACAGTCCTGTGACAAAAAAAAAAAAACCATCTCTAACCGAGGGGGCCAAAGGGTCATAGTATGAAATGTGAAGAATTGAAATAAAATGAGATAAGATAATATGAAATGATGAAAAGTATACAAGAAATGGTGTAGGAAAAAAATTAGAATTAAAAAAAAAAAAAAAGTGAGCTAAGCTGGGGGAAAAAAAAAAAGAGTGGGCTGGGCAAAAAAAAAAAAAGAAGAGGGCTAGTTGGCTGGCTGGAGATGGCCATCTCGCTGGCTTGATTGGTTGGTTTTGGCTCGGTGGGGCCCACAAGCCCTTTGGCTTAGCCCTCTGTTGGAGAAAGTTTTTGTGTCATTTTGGACTATTTTCAGCTCTATAGCTCTCTGGCCGGATTAGTTAGAGATGACCTTACATTATATATCAACGAAAGTTGTGTTGGGCATTTATATCACCAAAATAAGTATTTTTCATTGTTCAAGATTTTAGAGGTTCCTATATTTATTTGACTATTACCAAGTACAAATATAACAAAAGCAACAATACTTGGCTACTCAAAGATGAGTATGAACTCCTATTCAGAATTTTTAGTGTTTTAATCATAGAATTTTATGTTTATGATCAGAACTGTTCATATTATGAATCACATTGTAAAGATCATCTCTACAAAAAATAAATTAAAACTAAGGTTGTCTAGTCAATATATTATAGCAAATAGACGATTCGTAATGCTTTTACCAATACCGTTCATTTGTTTTAAAACAGTTTGATGACTGAACGACCTTAGTTTTAATTGATTTTTTTTTTTTTTTGCAGATGTGATCTTTATAGGATAATTTATAATATGAACGGTTCTGATTATAAACACGAACGTTATGTAAATTGACAACGAACAATTTCGAGAAATTTTGACTAGGAAAAACAAAAGGGAAGGGAGTAAAGATTGAGAGAGATATAGGAGGTACAGTGCAAACACAATTCACAAACCTTGTTCTTTAATTTGTATGAACATAGATACATATAAGATATACGACAGAATTTGACAGATGACAACAGTTAAAATTTAAGTATATTTTTCCCTTCGCATTTCTAACAACAGATTACATAACTTTTTTTGTAAAAAATAATCAGCTAGAGTTTTGACCACGACAATCGACTATTTTGAAAATTTAGAAGACGAACAGATTACGTAAGTGAATTTGGTTAAACTTGATGATCACCACTGAAACAACAATGTATACCACGTCAAACTATTAGTCCAGTGTATATTCATCTCTCCCTCTCTCTAAAGAGAATAATGTTCGGTCCAACATTAATCCACCACAGGCCTTGTGGCCCAAGGGCTCAATAACATATTCCAGCCCACAAAGTCCTGCCTCCTTCTTGAAGCTCCTGCAAGTTTTTTGTTTGTTTTTTTTATAAATTTTTTATTATAACAAATGGTAGTATCTACTGAAGAAGTTGACTAAGCCTTATAACAAGTTTGCCATAATAATGTAGTTCAATTTCATTTTTGACGAGAATCGAACTTAACATTTCTCATTTACAAGTAAAGAATAATACCACTAGACCATAGTACTAAGTGGCTGCAAGTTTTTTAGTTTTAAGAAGAAAAAAAAATTGATAAAGGGGATTGGAAATGCAATTCGTATTTGCATTAAGTTATGATTGAGTGAGAGATTTTTTAAGTTTTAAGGGGTTTTCTTTTAATATAGAAAATTCGTAGTGAACAATTAAATTATTTGTAAAGTTTAAATAACAAGTGAGAGATTACCTAAAAAATCCCTCTTCGGCGGATGACGAGAAATCCAATCTCCCTCCAAATTGCGCATCGTTTAAATTCCAGTGGGAAAGTGGAAACTACCAAAAAAAAAAAAAAACACTTCGAATCACAAACTATGTCACAAATCCCACATGGAAATCCCCACTGCCCTCCTCAAAACAACCAAAACCAAATCCCCTCAAATCCAAAGTACCTCAAACAAATCCATGATTTCTGCACAACAACGGAAAAACCAAATCCTGCAAATTGGTCTTACATTATAAGGAATCACCTCTCTCAAGGATCACTCGCACAAGCGCTTCTCCTGTACACCCGAATTCGGCGTCAAGGAATCTACATTTTAGGCGTTCTTCCTTTGATTCTCAAGGCCTGTGCTTCTCTTTCGTGCGTAAATCGTGGGAAGGCATTGCACGCCGAGTCTATCAAGTCTGGTATGAATTCTGATGTCTTGGTTGGCACGTCATTGGTTGACATGTACGCGAAATGCGGGCAAGTTTTTGAGTCCCGGAAAGTGTTTGATTATATGCCTGAGAGAAATGTGGTCACATGGAATGCGATGATAGGTGGGTACTTGAGAAGTGGGGATAAAACATCTGCTTTGTTTTTGTTTGAGAAGATGTCTATGCGGACATCTGTGACTTGGGTTGAGATGATCGACGGGTTTGCGAGGAGTGGAGACACGGTTAGTGCTAGGCGATTCTTTGATCAGGTTCCGCAGGAGTTGAAGAATGTGGTTGTGTGGACTGTAATGGCTGATGGGTATTCTAGCAATGGGCAGATGGAGGCGGCAAGGGAAGTTTTTGAGGCAATGCCGCAGCGTAATTTCTTTGTGTGGTCATCGATGATTTCTGGGTATTGCAAGAAAGGTGATGTTAAGGAAGCCAAGTTCATCTTTGACAGAATCCCAGTCCGGAACTTGGTGAACTGGAATTCGATGATATCTGGCTATGCACAAAATGGATTTTGTGAAGAAGCTTTGAACTCATTTCACAAAATGCAAGCCGAAGGCTTTGAGCCAGATGAATTTACTTTTGTGAGCGTTTTATCTGCCTGTGCTCAGTCTGGGCTGTTGGACATTGGCAAGGATATACATAACATGTTAGGCCATAGAAGGATAAAGCTTAGTCAGATTGTTCTGAATGCACTTGTAGACATGTATGCAAAATGTGGCGATTTGATGAATGCTAGGTTGATCTTTGAGGGGATGACTGAAAGGAACACAGTGTGTTGGAATGCTATGATTTCGGGACTGGCCATTCATGGACAATGCAAAGAGGCTCTTGAATTATTTGGAAGAATGGAAGATTCAAATGAAAGGCCTGATGATATAACCTTTATTTCTGTTCTGTCGGCTTGTGCACATGGGGGTTTTGTGGATGAGGGCATACAAATTTTCTCCAAGATGGAGGAAATATGGTTTGGTAGCAGGAGATTAAGCATTTTGGATGCGTGGTTGACCTTTTGGGACGGGCAGGAAGATTAAGAGAGGCTTATGCTTTAATCAAGAGAATGCCAATCAAACCAAACGACATGGTCTGGGGGGCTATGCTTGGAGCATGCCGGGTTTATATGGATATGGAGATGACGGAACAAGTAGTGAAGGATATTAGCACCCTCGATTCAAACGTTGGGTCAGGTGATAATTCACATTATGTGCTTCTGTCAAATATATATGCTGCCTGTGATAGATGGGAGAAAGCTGAACGGACCAGGATTGACATGACAAGCGAAGGCTTTGAAAAGACTCCGGCTCGCAGTTCATTTGTGCCCAGTGGCTCATAACGTGTATATGGTACTTCTAGGTAAACCATTGTTCCGTGGAAGAGCAGCAGTTTAAGACATGGTGGTAGCTCCCGCCTTAGTTACTGCATGCCAACATAGTGTTTGAAAGGCAGCTTAGTTCTGGCGATCCTGCAGAGGATTTCTTTCAACGAATTCAAACACCTTTTTTCAAACAACCTTATAATGAGCAAAGAATTGATTGGGAGCAGAATGTCGGGCTTATCCGTAAAATCAGAGGAGTATTTACGTCTGAACATGAAATCACAGCAATGGATAACGGAAATGGTTGGTTGAGGCATTGAATAAAACTGGAGTGGCAGCTTGTATCTACTTCTGAACATGAAATCAGAGCAATGGATCTTCAAAGAGATTTTAGCAACAACGTATTCTGCACGTTCAACACAATTTTGCCAATTGTCGTAACAAAGAACTCATCTATACTGCACAGACTTTCCTTCTTTTTCCCCTTATGAAAATCAAAATGAAGGATTTTATCTTTATGCTACCTCAGATTACAAAAGATGACTTAGACAACACGGAAGGAGTCGGCTATTTTCTTCAAGTCCTTGTAATGCCTCTTCCATTGAAGACCTACAAAATCCAAAGCAAGTATGCATTTATTATGTCTTTAGGTATGGCTATTGAATCATTTTTTTTTTTCATAATAAGAAGCATGTCAAAGTAGAAAAAGTATCCGTACCACTTCCAGTTACGCTAAACAAGTACAGGCGATTCCCAGCTGCAGTTGCTGTTATCAGAGCATGAGGTGGCTCCAACTCATACTGGTAATATGTTCTTCCAGAGTCTTGTACAACATTTATGCTCATAACCTTTCCTTCAACATTTTCACCAATAACTTCGGGTCCAAAAGCATTGATTACCGTCTCTGGACGTCCAATTTTCTCAATTGTGGCATCTCCATCTAAATCTGCGAATCACAACAAGAGTTTAAGTTTCATGTTAAAGATTGACCCAGCTAATATAACTGCATTGGCATCTGAGTTTTTTGGTCGTGTTGCAGAAATAAAAGGAAAAATCTTGATTTATATCAAGACTCACTATCTGCAAATCTCAGAACAGGAGCGACAATGACAGAAATGCGTCCCTCCTTTGGGCTACCAAATCTCAAATCGATCTCTGTACCGCCTAGATCCGCTATTGATACTGGAACCTGTTGCATGGAAAAGAAGACAAATATGCAAAATTGAGGCAGTTCTCAGACAGAAGGTAAAACATGATTTATTGGAGGAGAAGATGCAAGAAAGGATAACTCAAGTTTAAATCTTTCACGTTCTTTAGCAACACCAATATCATGTACAACACAAGCTCTTGGCTTTAACAGATTTGATTATTACCTCTTCCCAATCCTGAGGAACTGAAAAGCGATAAGGGATGATAGGGCTCCAACCAACGCCATGCCCTCCAGACTTCTCATCTGGTCTACGGTATGTCCTCCAACCTGTCTAAGCATATACTTACCAGTGAATGAGACCATTTACATATAATCAAAGGCAGAGAAAAGCAATTTTTGTCTTGAAATACCAATTCCTTCGGCCTTGTGAACTTTTAATTTTCAAAAGGGACAGTCTATGCATATGGATAATGGATTATGCTCCATTTTATGCAAATATTCGTAGTATTTGTGAAACATGAAATATGGTCCAAATACCGTCTGGATAACACGAGATCATTTTTTTTTTTTTTTTAATCAAAAGCAGCAGAGGATAACACAATATCTCATAGTACAACTAAAATGTGTAGATTTTGAAAGAGAATATTTCCTATAGGTAAATGATTTCCGTACTCCTTTTCTCCTTCTGCACACCCTATTTATTTTTGTCCTTGATTCTCTTTTAGTTCATTCAATCCGAAGGCCAGAAATAAAAAGGGGCGTGCGGAAATCGGTTTTCTACATTGTATGTAGTTTTTCCTTATTTCTCTTAACTATTGTTTGTTGCTAACTTGCTACGAGCAGTGTAAGATGAAGGATACCAACCTTGTTCATCCGGTTCGGACAGACCGGGAATCCGGCCGGCTAGAAGACCTTGTTTCACCACTGCCAATCCCTCTCCCGGAAAACCCAACACTTGAGAAGAAAACAAAGAAGCTCCTGCAGAAAGCAACACGGATCGTCTCTTCAAAATCCCGGAGAAATTCTCAGCTTCTCCATCAACCAAGCCACTCTCTGTCGAACGTGAGCCAACTTTTGTCCTGGAATTTCCATCCTCCAATGAAGACTGAACAACCAAATTGTACGAAGGAATTGCTTGCCGCTGATGAGTCCAGGAGAAGCTCCAACCGATAAGTGAGGCTGTTCTCATTTCCTCCACCACTTTTGAAGCACAAGACGAGTGAGAAATTCAGACTCCCTTTAAAGTTTTCTGGAAAGACCAATACAAAGTGTTTTGATTAACAAACTTTGTGCATTTGGCAAGCGAGTGCTGTACAAGCTGAGGTTCTCGGTCCTTCTGGGATTTTGAGTATTTTGTGGTGCACAAATCCTGGATTTTTCCCTAATCGTTTTCGGACTGACACGTGGCATTTTATCACTTGTGATCAATAAATCAAATCTCTTTGGCGCTGGCTTACCTTTTAGTTCTAAGCGTCCTATTTACGAGTCCGTTATATTTTCAGAGAAGCGGAATTCAAAAATAGAATCTCGAGTGCAAAAATAAACATTCTTAACCAAGAAGCTGTGGATGCGAGCAGACAAAAAACAAATACCTGCGAAGCAGAATCAACTCATTGGCAAACTGCAAACATAAAGTTTGAATCCTCAACTCATAGTTTAAATGAATTTAGTATAGACAATCGTTTGATTAAAAAAAAAATTCCCCAGACAAATTAAGTAATTAACTGTGTATGGCAAGCAAAAATGCATTATCAAATTCAAAATGATAGTAAATTAAGGCCAATGGATCCACCCTCATATTAACTTACAATTCTATGGAGTACACAAGGTCCCAGAGAGGTAAGATTTTTCTCACTAAGCTGAAAAAAATTGTTTATAAACAATTTACAACAAAAAATTTAGATATGAAAAAATAATGAACATATGAACTTCAGAAAGACACAGAAACTATACAAAGAAGCTATATAGATGATTCCATGCCATAATCAAGGCAAAGGCATTGGCAGTCTCCACTCCGAAAATTCGACCAAGTTTCTATTTACAACAGTTCCATTGTGCAACCAGAATGTTTCTGAAGACTGGTGAAACAGCCTAACTTTCCTCTGAAGCTCCCAAAGAATCGCATGCATTGCCGAACATGAAGCTGATTCTGAAGCATAGGCCCATAAACATCTTACTTGTCTGCCCCGGCTTATCATCCCTTCTATATATTCATCTGCACAAGAGAAACAACAATGAACCACAACATTTAAAATAAATAAAAAGGACAAGTTTTAGCTATGGTATGCTGAAACAAACATTAACCAGAGCAACAAGTGCACTGAGTGCTGCATTTGACCTGGTATTGACTCTAGGTACTGCAAAAGCTCAGGACCTATTCGAGTGGATGGCCATTTAATTGATATCTGGGTGTAGTCAACAACATTTTGGAAAGGCAGTTCTACTTAATCTGATAATATCACAGGTACACACTCCTGTTGCAGCAAGAAAAGCATTATTTCTACAAGACTATTATCTTACATGTTTAGGTCTAGAAAGATAAAGGGAAGTGGGAGCAGAGAGAGAGAGAGAGAGAGAGAGAGAGAGCAAGCAAGAAAGACAGACAGACCACAAAGAAAGCCTCATAAAATCGAAGAGTCCAGGATGACTCCCCACATGGAGCAAAGCAGAACTTGGCGTCACGCAGGTGTTCAAAATAATCTATTCTTCCCATCGCATTGATATGATGGAGTTTACACAATTTTCTCAGCATTAAAATATAAGAAAATATAATAAATTATCACACTTTCCATGGCATCTTGATGCAACTGGAAGCCTGAAATCATCATTTCCATAAAAATGACAACAAAAATATAATGTTTAAAATCCGATTTCTTCCTTCTACCTATGTCAGATAGAAGGATCTGCCGGATATAAGCGCTTTACATTCAAAATCACACACAAATAGGTAAAGACAAGAAACTGCTCAGTTAATTCAATTTACAGACAGAGCTAAAAATCCAAATTAGTTATTTCTTTTTACCCTTCTTACAACATGTGTGCTCAACAATCAACATTATGTCCCAAATTTTTTTCTGATAGAGATATACAACAGAAAAACAACTACTTATCCACCATATGAAACAGTTTAGGTCGGAAACAAGAAAAGCATTGATGACCATCATGAAACAACCGCACCTTGAAAAAACAAATATGTGGCCACGGCCACCAGATCGCCTGAAATATGGCATTCGACTTAACACCTGCAAGAATTTTCACCAAATAAGCATAAATTAACAAGAGCTTAAATGGATCCCCATCAAATACAGAGAACATCACCGAGCTCAAGCAACGATAAGAAGAGGTTAAACACATAGGCTTAAAGTTCCTCAAGGAAATGAAAAAGAATTTACCTTCACATATATGTCTGGTTAATCTCCTTATCATTAAGACCCCCCATCATCCGAACGCATTTAGTATACGTAGGCACAAAAAATAGGTCTGCTTCCTCTTTCTTCCTCGTCCGAAACCTCGAATTTAGCAGTAGCCTGTGTATTTTAACCTACATTTATGTTTAAAGAGTAAGTTTGAATTCTCAAGCTCAACTCTTATGTCTAGAAATTAAATTTTGGTATAACTTTATTAAAATTATAAGAGTTAAAAGTCCTTACTTGAGGCAAGCTATCAAATAAATGAGCCTCATGTCCTACATTATGGAGTGTTTGTGAACTTTCACCTGTGCAAGTAAATTCCTACAAAAAAATTTTGACCAAAAAAATAAAATTACATTTGCAAGATAACACATTAATCACTTTGTACATGCACATAATACAATTTAAGTACCTCCATAGCTATATGTCGTCTTGCGGGAGTTTTTTAACTCTTGGATGTCGACTTAGACTCTTTTTGTTCAAGCGGGTCCTTCAGTCAACGGCATAGACGTCCGACTGTAGCTTGTCTTTTAACTCCACAAACAATTGTTGTTTCACAATTATTAGGCTCAACCATTGTCTCAACATGTTCTTTATACCAGTTGAATCAACCATGCCTTTCAAATTTTGAACACCACTTGTGCAATCTTTTTCGCCAAGGCTTTTCTTTATTTCTTCCAAACCTCTAAGCATCTCAATTGAACGATGAGGTGCATACTCAGTTAACTTGTCATGTTCTGCAGTTAAAGAAGCAATTTCACAAAAATTGCAACACAAATGGCTATAACCTTTTCCCATAGACACTTTAGGATTGTCATGAGCACCCACTCCATGGTAATCTTTCATACTTCTAGCCTTTGTCGTTCTTGTCCATCGATTTAATATGTAATGGGATGAAGGAGCGGTCTAAGAGGCTAGTCAAGAAGAAGGAGGCGGCGAC